GCTTCTTTCCCTTACTATATAAGAACGAAAAGTTACGGGGAGCGAGAATAAGGCAAAACTTACGCCTGAACGATTCGAATTTTCATTCGCCTGAATTGCAAAAACTTTGCTTCAAATTTTGTCCCTATTATATTTAAAAAGTCCTTTGATTGTATGTCATTACGTATCATTTAACATTTGATTTACTATAATAAATGATGCATATTAATGATTATCACCGAAATAATATATTCTATAATAATTTTTAATTACGTAAATTTTGCGCTACAATTAGCTGAAAATATCTTCAACTAAATCGAGAAATCAATGGATTGTACTATAAGCATTGTATTAAAAACAAATAATTAAAACCTTATCGAATAATTTTGAATATCGGATTAGCCTAACAAAGCTAACTCTTGGCAACATTTAACGAAATCATCTAATAACATTTTTCGACAGAAGACAAAAGATAATTTTAAACATACTTGTGAAAACATTTAACATATCATGTTTTTTCGCAGAAAAAAAAAACAAAAATGAAAATGTCCCAGCGATGAAAGAAAAGATAAAATTGAATAAAAAAACCACAAATAATCGGAATATTTTCGGGTGCGATCTCAAGCGTAGTATTTTTCTTGAGCGTCGTCGAGTTCAAAGTTAATCTCAAATGCGGACCGCTTGGCATGTGAAGGAAGGGTGTTGTCATCGTGAATCTCCAGAGAGAGAGAGAGAGGAGAGAGAGAGAGAGAGAGAGAGAGAGAAAGCGAGAGATATCGAATGAGTAGAAGTGAGGAGCAGCGAAGGAAACATGTAAAGAAGTATAAGACAGCGCAGAAGAAGCAAGAAAGAGAAACGAACTTGCTCGTTCTCTCTTCGCGATTTCTCCGGTACGATAGAACCTTGGGAAACGTACCGTACGATAAGATTCTGTCATTTATAATCCCACTCTCTATCAGATGAAACTTGGTCAGAGATAAGATGCGTCTACCGTTTTGCAGTTATCCTCTGTTTCTTTTTCTTTTTAAATAAATAAGAAAATAAGTAAATTTATTAAAATGAAAATAAGCATGCTTTAGTAAAAACATTGACCATTTAATCGTTAGTATTTATACAGAAATTATGTAGTGGACATAATATCGACATCTTATTGTTATTCACATGATATTTAATATTATTATTCGCATATTTCCATGTATCATTAACCTTATCATTTAAATCAACCATATCAGTAGCAATTATTTACTTTAATATTTCCAACCAAAACGCTATAATAAAAATTCTAATAGGATACTATAGGCATAAAACTACTCTATCTACGTAATAATTGGATAATAATTGCAGTCATATCCAATTTTTCTTTCATATAAATAATGAATGCAGTATGTTAAAGGTCATCTTATAAATAGTTCGACTCTATGAAGGTATTTTTCTAAGAAAAGGACGAATTCGATCATACATTTATGAGCACATGAAGAATATTGTGATTGCAAAACGATCGGGATTATGGAGAAAAATAAAAACAAATGGACGGAAAAATAGAGGTGAGCAGGGTTAAAAAAGATTTTGCGGGGTGGTCGAGCGCCATATCGTCCTCTTGCTGATTTATGCAGCGGCTCGTGCATTTTTACTGCTGCGTTATAGAGATTTAAGTGCAGCCAATTACACGTTTATGCGTCCCTTTACATTGCGCTTGAGCGACCGAGGCGTTTTTCTCTCCCGACTTCTCCCCTTTCCATTTCATTCTCAATCTTTCGTATTTTCGCCCCCTCGAATCTTTGTCGTCCCTACTTTTCTTACGCGGATCTCGAACGTTCGATAATAAAGACGATGGACAGAAGTGCGGCGTGGTTTTCACTCTCAAAATTTTTTGCTCAAGCGCCTATATTTAGAGATGCATCGCCGAGGATTTGTGATGCGCACGAGCACGTACACACTTCATCATGGCATCGTTGAAATTTATAAATTTGACCAACATTTTAACCATACGTAACCTCGACGTGTCATATTGGGTGCGTAGCCACGAGACGCACGAGTCGCGCGCGCGCGCGCGCGCTCCTTACCAAAAGTAAATATCGTAAATTCATGGCTCTCTCGGATTAAAGAAAGGTAAAAGAAAATAAAGTCTAAGAGCAGAGAAGAGAGAAAATATGCTACTGCGCACATAACCGAGAAGAATGCGTGGGTTGTTTCATCTCACCACGTACGCCAAGACGTCTTCCTCCCGAGAGCGAGCGAGCGAGATAGTAGTAGAGGCTCCTCCTAGTCTCTATTTACGGTCCTTATATCCAAACACACTAACACGCACACGCGGCCGCGCACTCCCTCCCCATCTCTTACACTCTCATCCTCTCTCTCGTTATCTTTTCCTTTCTCCTTCTCATGTGTGCGTAGGCAACTCGGACGCACTATCGAAATAACCTCGCATATGGTCGACGAAAATAAACCTCCTAATTCCCATCTCGTCGAATTCGCTGTACACTCGAGTTCGGTATATCGCTAAAAGACAAGGCGGGAGACGGGGGGGATGGAGAGAGGGGTGAAAGGGAGAGAGAGAGAGAGAGAGAGAGAGAGAGAAAGGGAGAGGGAGAGAGGAATAGAGAGAGAGAGAGAGAGAGAGCGCACGCGAGGTCGAAATGGATGTCAGAGGGAAAGGAGTAAAGATGAGAGGAATATTGTGTGCAAAAAGGAAAGAGGTGGTGCAGGAAGCCACCCTGGTGTTAACGGGCTCTTGCAAGAGCTGGGGAATAGCCGCCGCAGCTGCAACTGAGATTTATACCGGATACTTGACGAATCGTCTGCCGAGAGATTGACTGTAATATCTTCGTCAGTTAATTCTTTGTTTGCCACAGGAGGATTTATTTCCATAGTTAAAAAATCATCAGCTAAATTTATTGCCCGTGGGTAACTTTCACATTATATATCCCAAGGAGTTTAAATAAGCTCGGAGAGCTATGCTTGGATCGAGATATGCGTGGACCAAATTCATGGGTATGGAACGTATAGCCAATGAAGTAATTC